GGGGTTGTACTGCTGTGCATTTTCCGTTCTTTTTTCGACCCCAATTTAGATTGCTGCCTTGAGAAGTGGGATGAGGGAGACATGCAAAAGAGGAAGACTGGGAGGGAGACGGAAGAGAAACACGACGGATATTTGACGAGAACATGTATCCTTAGCAGAATAGAGCTCTTGCGAGGAAAGGGGTGTTGGGCAAGAGGCAAGGGAGAGGAGGAAGGGCGTGCTTTGTTTCTTATACAACCAGCGTGCAACCCCCCCTTCAAACATACAAGGAAGCTGCGGAGAGTTCAGGCCTACCAGACCCACAGGGGGGCCCGGGGTTCCAGAAGGTGGGGAGAGGCAAAATTCTGAGTGCCTAAACACTGACAATTTTTAATTTGCATCTCCATTTGTGAGTGAACAAATCCAAAAGAAAATCAGGTGAGGTAGGTTCCCCTGTACCAGGGGAAAATATTAGGAAAAACAATTGCCGGCAAAAAGGAATTTGGTGCAAAGTTGCAAACCAAATGCATACATCAATCCCTGTTACCCAGTACACCCAATTTTTAACTCGCATCTCCATTTGTGAGTGAACAAATCCAAAAGAAATCAGGCGTGGTAGGTTCCTCTGTACCAGGGGAAAATATTAGGAAAAACATTTGCCTGCAAAAAGGAAATTGGTGCAAAGTTCCAAACGAAATGCATACATCAATCCCTGTTACCCAGTAGACCCAACCTTTCGCTCAGGGCAGGCTTAACAAGCTGAAAACGCTCTTCGTTTTTGTTTTTCGATTTTCTTTCTTTTCAAACCACCACCTTCTTTGACAGGCAAACTTGAAACACCAAAATACCATACACCGTATTGTTCAGAAGCCGGGCACCAGTGGACCAAAATGGCTGGCAGTGTCAGTCAAAAAAAAAAAAAAAACGAGCCATGCTGGCGCTTCCACAAAAAGCTTAGTGCGCAGTTCTTTTCCACCTCGGCAAAAAGAGGCTCGCAGGTAGTGGCGGCTCAAACAGGTCCCTGTTGCCCTGACTCCATCCCATTCTGGAGAGCATCAGTCCGGTTACTTTCCACCGGCAAGTCCGAAAATTACATGCAACAAAAACGCACGCTTCTGCCTGCTGAGCAGACCGATCTGACCAGCATTGATTGCTCCACATTGGGAGGATTGACTGTCAGTTTGGCTTCCAAATCCCTTCCTCTCTCTTCTCACACCCAAACAGCACAACTTAAGATTTAAGAAGTTGGTATAATTGCACCCAGCTGCAACTTCACGGCTTTCAACTTTCTTAGTCTTTTTGTTGCCTTTGTTTTCTGATGCAATCAGACTCGTTCTCAAACACACTTTTCATGCATGTAAACAGCAACGCAGCATACTGGCGACATGCGCCCACTCAAAACTCAGAGATATGGCTTTCAGATACGAGTTCACTCTCAATTGGCTATGGCGACTTCAGCACCCAAACATCTCACTGTTCACATACACTGGATCACCCTGGATATCCCACACGCATCACTCTAACACTCGAGCACACACA